AATAATAATAATTTATTTGTTTATATAGTGCTTTACAACACTGAAGGGAGCTCAAAGTGCTTCACAATAAAACAGAGATAAAAGCCAAAAGCCAGTCTGAATAAATGTGCCTTTAATTTAGACTTAAAAACCATTAACTCTGTTATAGATCGAACCTCAGGGGGCAGGGCATTCCAGAGCTTGGGGGCATACACTGAGAAAGATTGATGTCCCCACTTTTTAGACCTTGCCCACGGGACAACCAGAGACACATGCTCAGAGGAACGCAGTGCTCTAACCGGGGTATAAGTGGTTAAAAGATCGGTCAAATAGACTGGCGCAAGACCATTAATGGTCTTGAACACAAACAGTAACATTTTAAAATCTATTCTAAATTGTACCGGAATCCAGTGAAGGGACTGAAGAATCGGGGTGATGTGAGCATTCTTTGGAGTGTTTGACAGTAGGCGAGCAGTTGCGTTCTGTACGAGTTGGAGCCTAAGGAGCTGAGACTGACTAATTCCATTATAAGGGGCATTGCAGTAGTCAAGCTGTGAGTTAATGAAGGTATGAATGGCTTTTTCTAGGTCAGCTCGAGATAAAAAAGGTTTCACCTTTGCTAGGAGCCTCAGCTGAAAGAAGCTTATTTTGACCACCGAACTAATCTGCTTGTCAAATTTGAGGCTGCTGTCAAATAACACTCCCAGGTTTTTCACAGTTTGAGTGAATAACAGGGCTGAAGCTCCTAGGCCAGATACAGTGTGAGTGGGGTCCAGGCTAAAAGTGATATATTCAGTCTTCCCCTCATTTATATGAAGGAAATTCTGTGCGAGCCACTCTAATATCACCCAAACACCTGTGCAAGGGGGCTAGTGCATTAGCATCACTCTGCATCAACGGCGAGTAAATCTGCACATCATCAACATAAAAATGGAAACAAATGTTATGCTTAGAAATAATTGAGCCTAACGGTAACATATATAATGAGAAAAGAATAGGCGCCAGGATTGAACCTTGGGGAACACCTGAAGAGAGAGGGGCTTTTGCAGAGGTAGAGCCATTGATCATAACTGAAAAGGTCCATCATTCTTCCTGCTAACAGAACAGATGTATTTCTGTTGTGCAAGTGTATCAAAGATGCACATCTGACAAGCAGCAATATAAAGCGTTGTCTGTTTATGCATGAAAAGTCTGTTGTGATCTTGCACACCTCATCTCTTCCATACCCAATTAGATCACATCTTTTTCTATATGTATGCAACTTGTAAGATACTCCTTGAATAAGTGATGTAATGCTCAAGGGCTGACACTAAGGACAATATTCATAATTGATTAATTTGGTGACTGTTTTTGATTAGCAATCAATTTATATAGAGAACCCAAGGTGCCATCTTAAAATGTTTAGCCAGGGGTCTAAACCCCAAAGATACTGAATGTGCAATGATATGCCAAAGAAAAGCAGAGAATCCCTTTCACTGGATAGATTGGAAAATTTATTTTTTTAACCTTTTTTTTTTTTCTTCTTAAAAGAGATTGAAAAGTTTAAGCTCTGATGGGTTGTAATTTTCAATACGAGCATTCCATCTTCATTCTAGACATGGAAATCTTTGTGTGGCAGATATAAAATAAATGGGTCAATGAAAAGAGTAAAACAGGAGTGTACAAGAAAATGGTTGCAAAGTATACAGTGCTGATTTGTAGTATTTCTGGTGTTAGTCTGTTAAGGACAGACTGGTACAAAGGCTAGAATAAATCAGTATATCCCAGTCTGTACACAGACACCAATTAACGTTAATTATGTTCCTTGACCTGGTGGATAACGTTTGCCTATTTGACATATGAGGATATTCAAAGGATTGCCAGTTTAAAAGAACAGACTGTGATTGTGATCAAAGCACCTGCAGAGACAAAACTGGAAGTCTCGCATCCAGAGGAGGTACACCTCTCAACCTCTTATTAGTTACCAGCATCTTTGTTGTTCTGTCAAACAATTCAGAGTGGTTAATTTATGTGGTTGTGCTGCTGCAACATTGGCTAGAATTAAATTCTCTCAAGATATAGACTAGTGTTCTGGGTCTGCAGTCAGTTCACATTCAGACACTATTTAACAGAAGCACTCTGTCTACTTTCCTAATGCTCAGAGCTTCCAAATCTACCTCACAAGCACCCGGGGGCCCATTGAGGTGTTCCTCTGCTCTGATGACCCCATCCCTATGGAGGCCACAGATGCTTCTGGTTCTCATGGTAACCACTTAAACTCCTCTGCCAGTGGAAATGACTCCTCCCTCCTCTTGGCTTCCTCATCCCTCTTCCAGGTGTCTTCCAAAGGTGAACTTTGAATTTCAGGATCTAATGGTCCATCTAAAACAGGTTGTTCTTGCAGAAGCATACTTTGTTGCCCCAAAGAGGGATGCAACCTACCATGAGTATTTTCCTATACAAAAAAACCTATAAGGTATTGTGCTTAGTTCTGTACTCACTTTGAGCTGGCTCAGTTTTGCTGAAGGTTTTTAAACCTTTTGTCACTCATTCGTTTTCTTCCCCCATGTTCCTTTATCTACACTCCCTTTTTTTTCCAGATGATGCAAACCATTCTCTGGGAATCAGTAATGTTTCCAACCTGCTCTCTGAGCCAACACAAAACTCATCAGCATTTACTGTGTCACCTGTCTGCCCCATGCCCACCTCCCTCAAACTCCCTAAAGCCCTTGTTGAAGACCAACAGAACTTTGTCACGCTCAGTCCACCTCTGGCCTTCTCCCTTGACGGGAACGAGTATCTCCTGAACTTAGCTGCGAATGAAGGCATCACTGACCTCTATAGCCCTGTTGACCTGGATTGTTTGCCCCTGTGTATGCCCCTCCTCTGAACAGCCATTTTGGAAGTTCATTTATTTTGGAGGCAATGGGTAACTTCACACAGGATATTAAGGGTATACAATAAATGAACAAGCTGATTTACATGAGGTTATTTTTTATTTTTTTTTTTTTTTGCATTTGCTATCCTGGATGATGTGACTGGGATTTTCAGAGACGTGCGTGTGTGTGTGTGAGAGAGAGAGAGAGAGAGAGCGAGAGAGAGGTTGTAATTCAAAACCATTTCATTGGAGGGGTATTGTATTGACCATATACTTAAGAAAAAGTTGGACTTGGGCTATTCTGCAGCTTATCAGACAAAACAGTTTGTTTCAGAGCTTTATGCTTTTACATGTCTGGATTTTCTTGGTCGAAGTCTGAGCTTTGCTTTCTCAACGCAAGATCTGTCTGTGACAGTCTTAGTCCTGTACTGAAGGCATCACGGATATTGGTCTGTTGTGAACACAAAAGAACCTTGACAACAGATTAGGATTTAGGCACCCATTTAGCATTATGAGATGGGTTTTTTTGTTTGTTTTTCCCACCATTGAAAGCTGTTTTTTGGGGTCACCCCTGATACTTTTCTGCTCTTTCTGGACTTCTGGTGTTTTATGCACACTGATTAATATCATTGTGGTTTATTGCTAATTCTTAGTTCCCAAATCACAGGCATACTAATACAGTTTCACGTCTTGCGCCAGATACAGAGGGTTGGTCCCTCTAGACCTTGCAGGTCTGATGTACAGATAACCCATAGGTTATTTCCTCTGCCATTTTGTATAAGCTGTTCTTCTCTCATCATACCACACTTGAGTATCAGCAGACACACAGTACTGATCTAATACCAGCAATTTTTGGGATTTTCCCAAATAAAAAATCTGTATACTTCACTGCATGAATCTCAGTGGAATCCTGTTTATACAACATAACATGAGGCCTGAGGTAGCTATAACACTGAAAACTTTGACAGCCTGGCATGCCTCAGTAATGCAACTCATTTTATAATGATGCTGAGAAAGGCAAAGTATTTAATGTGCCTGACAAATTGTACATGATATTAGGGAACTGGACTGGTGTGTTCTTGTCTACTGCACAAATAAAATTACAGCATATTTCACTCTCAGTTTGGCTTTTGGCTTTGTAGATTTCTCAGGGCTCCAGTAACTTCTACTGGTGGTACAATTTTATGCATTTAAAAACTGGTTCTAAGTCCCAATATTTATGGTGTATCCCAAAGTCTGACCATCCTTTTGAATTTGAGTTGATTGCAGTACTTTGTACAGAAGATTGTATTGTTGAAATACTCCTTGATTATTGGAAAATCTTAAAAGCAGTCAACTTCACTGACTCTGAGATGTTAAATATTTCAGCAAGTCACTCACTCGGGTACCTTTGCATCCTGTCTTCATCCTTGTAGGTGTTCATAAGCCTACAATTGTCTGACAGCACCTTGAGCCACTGAAAACGGTGACCTGTCCGCAAAAGCTCTAATCTTTTCTATACAAAAACCAGATGATGATGATGAATGGAGTGACTTGCTGTATTACTCAACCACTATGTTCTTGTGAGTGTTCCCTTAAACACATTCAGATTCTTGAATATTACAGTAGAGTTGCTGTTGGAACTAAACTTTTTCTTTCATTGAAATGTCAGAAAATGAAACGGTAGAGGTTGTTTCTCAAAACTAGCTTCAGATGGCACTAGACCTAAGATGCTTGACTGCCATATAACTTTTTTGATGATTGATTAGCCATTTTAATCAAAAATGCCATGTTTGCTTGTTCTCGTAGGTCAATGCATGATCTTATTCTTACTCATTCCTCAGTAATTTTGTTCGTTTGTCACTATTACTCTGAAATGTATGCCAAAGCACTATCTTCATTTTTTTTTTTAAATGACAGTAAAGGCATCTATACAGGGTGGGCCATGGAAAAGTTTTGATCTTTTACATGCAGTTTACATCTTTAATGGTAATCACAAAGCTAATTTCTCAAACTACCAGTTCATTTTTGTTCATTTTCTTTTCTTCCCCACGCTGCAGTATTAATGTAGTATTTGACCATTCTATTGTACATCAGTCCCAGGTTTCAGTTGTTTCACCACACACCATTCATCCCCTTCATCTTCATCAGATACAGATAGCTTCTGTGGTAAGCTGTTTGCCTTCTTTAAGTGAGGTCACAGATCTGTGTGAAGTATGTTTGAACAATATAAAAAAAAAAAAAGGTATTTGTTAACAAAGTTGATCTTGTATTGTTTTCATCAGCTTTTTTTTTTTTAGCTGAGTAAGGCGACACCAGGTTGTGGGGTAACTTTTTACTTGCTGAAACATTCAGTGTTAAATCTGGCATGCCCATTAAATTTAAGAAACGTTGTACTTAATGTGTCAAGCAGTAAATGGCAAATGGGTTTAACCTTATACAGTGAAAATGCAAAATTATTACAAGTATATTATTTCATTAGTTATTTTTGCTTGCACTAATTGACTTAGTCACCTTCATTGGCTGTTGAACAATATTATGTCAAAGATGGTTATAACTGTAACGCAGAAGGTTGAGTCCAGTTAAGTAAGTTGTACGTTTGTTCAGTCATGTAAAGCTATGTTTTGATAATGACACTTTAGTGTTTATAACAATTTGCTTTTCATGGATTATTGTTTGGCTAATTAAAAATACTACTGATTAATTGTTGATTACTTGTTTATTAAGTCTATTATGCATAATTTATCAGTAAAAAACACTTTTTATGTTAATGCCTCCAAAATAGGAGTACCCTGACTTTACCTCCCGTCTTACCAGTAGTGAAATCTAGCTGACTCCAGTGCAGTATATGTGCCAACACTAGGAGGCAGTGAGATCACACAGAATCCTTGACACTCAGTCACAAGGTTGTGATGTTTTGAAATTGTGACGGTGTTACCAATCTCTTTCTGAGAATTGTTTATTGTACCAATGCCTAAACTCAGCTGTCATCTCTTTTCCTGCCATGTCAATCACAGCCCTAAAGATATTAAAATAAATTGATGGGGAAAATGGTTGAATTCCTTTCAAGCCCATTTCTTAAACACATGGGAAAAAGCTTCTTAAAATGAACTCCTTGTGATGGTATGTCTGCAGTATATTCATTGTCATTACACAGGCACTTGCTGACATGGTAGTGTGACGGTGCTCTCATTGAAGAGAAGTTGCTACAACAGTCCACACTGATTTTCAGATGTAGATTCTAGCAAAATCTTTAGGCATTACAGCTTATCAGAAGGTGATATCAACCTACTGGATGGAAAATGCTTTTACAAAGAGAATGTAAAACAAAAGATCACAAACTAGCTGGCAACTATTGTCAGGCCTGGTTGTCTGAAGACTACATGTGAGGTCTTGCAGATTGTTAAAAATATTTGAGTAAAATGATTAAATGCTTGCATAAAACACATATAAGCTTTCAGCATGGAGACAAAACATTTGATAGTATTACAGTGAAGATATTATTTGTAGTTTTCAGCAAGAGGTTTGTTTATAGAAGGTAATCATCACCACAGATGGCAGTTGTTTCATTTGATGGAATATTCAAATGAGATGTCATGGAAATAGGCAGTGTGCGTTATATCTGTTTATGTGAACTCACTGATGTGCATTTTCCTATATGCATACATGTGTTTGAAACTTCCCCCTATTGATCCAGTATACCATCCAGCTATCTCTGTCTCTGCTTCTCTTTGTCTGAGTCTCAGCCTCTAAAAACACATCAGTGCCCTCAACATGATGATGTAATCTGTTGGGAACCTGCGGAATCCAGGCGTGTCTATAGATGGCAGTGTTGTACCTCAAACCTCCACATGAACCCAGTCAACCCAGTTCCCCACAAACAGTGGCACACTTGCTTTGAGTTCATAGAGAGTCACTGGATCACTGCTGCCATTGATTCATGTGTGTTTCTGTTGTGTTCTGTCCTCTTCGTGCAACAAAGTTTTGTGCAAAAAAAAAAAAAAGGCCAAGAAAAAAACCAAAGTGAATATTGACTTGGGTCATACTGAATTAGGTCTTACATCAGCCCCCTCCTGTCTTCAGGGAGCTCACTTAAAGATGAGTCAATATGGTTGTCAATCTGCTGATCAATTGGTCAATGAAGTTTAATTTTTAGAGTGCTTTACCCAGCCAAGTATGAGCATGTATTTTGCTGAACAAAATACCCTGATGGCCGGGCATCAAGTGCGAGATAGGACTAAGTCAGTACTTAAGACTTGGGCCCTTAGGGGCTTTAGAGGGGACTCTGGGTTAAGTGCAGTCCACTCTACTGTAGGTTGATATTCTTGTCCAGCTGTCCTGTCTCCCAAAAATATAACACTTGTTTCCACACTGTGTTCTCTTCAGCCAGACTGTTGTTTTGATTGCTGTAATGCACTGAGGCAGAGAACAAGGGAGAGGGTTAAAGAGGGAGCATGAAAGCAGAAGAGAGGGAGAGAACGTACTACTCGCCTCTCATTGGTTACCCAGAGCACGCCGTCTTTTTGCGTAGTGCCCTCCTAGCCAATTGGCTGCCTTTGCAATATTTCGGGTTTATGAATGAAGTGCATAGTCCGAGAGCAGGACAAGGAGTAGTTCAATTCACTACCCGTTGCTCATGGTGTGCGGAGTATACCAAAAAGAAAGGTGGGCTTGTTTGCTGCGCAGTCTGAATAAGAGGACCTTGACATATTTAGGGGGGATCAACAGATCATGACAGCACAGGCAGAAAGCACCCGCAGGTGTGACTGTACTTGTCTTTAGTATCTTATAAAGGAGTAACTAGTCTAAACAGGAGATATATCGGTGAAAACCTGTGGCCTGATCAAGACTGGAAGACTGGAGTGTAGATGAGCAGCTTCTTCTGTTACATTCAGTTGCAGACATGTGTTGGGGTCATGTGCCGTCATTTTATTACCAGTTGAAAATTGAGTGCGGCCCTCTAGGCAAAAATAATGTGTGATATTACCTTTTGTGCCACATTGCCAAAGTGCATGGCAACATTATGTTTTTGACAGCTAGGCTTGACACCTTGATTGATTGATTGATTGATTGATTTTATTCTTTCAAACATGCAGAACAGAACAAATGAACAAAAGGCAACAA